GCTGACTCTCACTGGGATACAGTTCCTGAAGGTGCTGACTCTCACTGGGATACAGTCCCTGAAGGGGCTGACTCTCACTGGGATACAGTTCCTGAAGGGGCTGACTCTCACTGGGATACAGTCCCTGAAGGTGCTGACTCTCACTGGGATACAGTCCCTGAAGGGGCTGACTCTCACTGGGATACAGTTCCTGAAGTGGCTTTCACTCACTGGGAGTGTTCATGTTTTGTCAAACTGGGATATAGAGTCTCTCTATGAACAAGGTGGTGAATGGGGCTTTTGAGCTTGGTTCATAGAGGGCAGTGTTTGGATCGGGCTGAAGATGGGGAAGAAACCATGAGAACATTGGAATAGTCCACACTGGATCCATGGAAGGGTATGAGCAGCTGATGTTGAAGGTGTTGGGTAGTTTTCCAGGTGGATCTGAGATTGTAATGTCAGCTTTGGGTCATGTTGGAGAATGAGCTTATGAACAGTCTTTTGAATGAGGGCGAATGGTGAGGGAGCTGGATGGACTGGGTATCTTGTGAATGGAGAGTGTGCTGTGGAGTGTGATTGTTACAAAGTTTGCTCATGCTCAGCCCTAGACAGTGCCCCTGGATTCCTGTATATTACCTGCTTGTTTTGTTTCAGGGCAACTACTAACCAAATTCAATCCAGCTGAGACCATACGTAAACAGTTCAGTGTCGATTATGGTCAGTACATCAACATTCCCATGATGTCCAGCTCAAACTACCCTTTACGTTACGGCTACGACTCGGAATTGAGATGCAAGGTAATCATTTCTAAGGATTAACAGCAAAGCTACTTGGTTGTAGGTGTCAAGCCTGATGTTGAGCTGAGGTGGAGCTATCTGTAATTTGTCACTGGTCACCTTCCCCTCTGCCTGATCGCTTTTCAGAAATTGTGTCTTTGCAGGTTTGGGCTGACAAGTGGCAAGTAACATTCGCACAATACAAGTGCCAGGCTATGACCATCACCAAAAGGAGAGAAGTTAACCAATGCCTCTGGACATTCAATGGATGTTACCATCACTGAATGCCCCACTATTAACATTCTGGGAGTTACCATTGACCAGAAAATCAACTGGATTTGACGCAGAAATGCAGTGGCTACTAGAGCAGTTCTCAATGTATCATAGGGACAAGAAATGAATATTTGCCTTTATTATAAAAAGAATGGTGTATAAATATTGGGAGGCTTTGCTAAAACTATCCAAGGCACCAGTCAGAGAACAGCTGGATTACTGTGAACAGTTTTTGTCCCTTATCTAAGGAAAGATAGAGTGACATGGGGGTGGTCCGGAGAAGGGTCACTTGGCTCATCCTGGATAGGGAGGGATTGTCTTATGTAGGTTGGGCCTGTACTCATTGGTGTTTAGAAGAACAAGTGGCAACCTGATTGATACAAACAAGAGCCTCTGGGGGTTTGACACAGCAGATGCAGAAAGCAGGACCAGGGGACATTGGCTCAAAACAAAGGGTTACTGATTGAAGACAGAGATGAGGAGGAATTTCTTCTTTCAGAGGGTAGTGAATCTGTGGAATTTGTTACCACAGAGGGCTGTTGAGGCTGAGTCATGAAGTATGTTAAAGGCTCCGATAGACAGATTTCTAACCTGTGAAGGAATCCAGGGTCATGGGGAAATGGCAGCAAACAGAGATCAGCAGTGATGTCATTGAATGGTGGACCAGAGTTGATGGGCTGAATGGCCTATTTTTGCTCAGAAGTTCCCCTCCAAGCCACTTACCATCCTGACTTGGAAATATATTCCCGTCCCTTCACTGCTGTTGGGTCAAAATCCTGGAATTCCCTCCCTAAGGGCATTGTGGGTCAACCCACAGCAGGTGGTCTGTAGCGGTTCAAGAAGGCAGCTCACCCCCACCTTCTCAAGGGGCAACTAGGGACGGGCAATACATGCAAAAAACACAATTAACTCGTGTCCCTCGAGCGAATAAAAAATTTCATCCTTGGATGGGATAAGACCCGATGGATTAAGGTGCCCATTCCCTGTGTATCCCACCCTGATCCCAAATGTTTGTTTCAGACAGCATCGAGGGAAAGAGGAACAGTAGGACACCATGCAGCCTCCAACATTTGCAAGTCAACATCAAACAAGGGGGAGGCAATGGCGTAGGGGGGTTATCGCTGCACTGTTCATCCAGACACCCAGCTAATGTTCCGGGAACCCAGGTTCAAATCCTGCCACAACAGTTGGTGGAATTTGAATTCAATAAAAATCTGGAATTAGGAATCTAACGATGACCATGAATCCATCGCCAATTATTAGGAAAAATGCATCTGTTTCAGAGGGTCTGATGGGACTGGTGCAGTCCCCCTCCAAAGTTGGTGAGATGATGAAACCACTGTCTGTGTTTCAGATTGGGCTGTTTCGCTATGTGGGTGACATGAGCCTCCTCGTCTTCCTACCGACAGACTTCACCAGGAACCTGAGCGTGATCGAGGAGAATCTGAACACGGTCTTCATCCACGACCTGGTCCATCAGCTGCAATATGTCCGAGCAAGAGTCTCCCTGCCCAAACTCAGATTCGACATTGAGCAGGAACTCAAACAAACCCTCGGGGAAATGCGTAAGTGTCTTGTGATCGGTAAGGAATTCACAATTCAGCATCGTTCAGATCTTTATTCCAGGGACTTCCCACAGCAAACACAGCTGTCACTCACAGGAGGCTGCTTCCGGCCCCAATATTACTGCAATAATCCAGACTGGTGCTTCACTAAAACAACATCGCCGCACTGTCGGAGGGTCAGTGCTGAGGGAGCACCGCACTGTCGGGAGAGTCAGTGCTGAGGGAGCGCTGCACTGTCGGAGGGTCAGTGCTGAGGGAGCG